AACCCGTAAGACCTTCGTTCATCTTCGGAACACAAATTAAGATATTTTTGATGAAATCCGAGAGCTCTCTGACCCTGCATAGACAGCAATGCAACTGAAATGTTTCCAGTCCCAGAAAGGTAGCAAGGACATCGTTAAAACAGTCCATGTGACATCTTATTCACTCAGCTTTATTCAGATGATGATATAAATCTCAATTTCACAAAACTGACCCTTATGACTGGTTTTGTGCTCCAGAGTCACATTTTCATTTAAGTACTCCGTTAAACAGACCTTGAGCAGTATAGAGGAGGGCAGCTGGTTAATGTCTGTATTTTCAGCGCTCTTCGTCTCCTCCAAGCTTTCGTTTTGAGACGGCTGACAGCAGCAGGAGGAGGAGGAAGAAGTCGAGGCGCTGCCTGCATCTGTATGTCGCCCCACGCCGGAGCCGTCCTCCTCCGAAGGAGAGGAAGAAGAGGAGGATGAAGGCAGAGAAGGGAGGAGGCACCGGCTGTCTCCTCGCTCCTCTCCGTTCTCCATGGCCTCCTGGAAGGCACAGCGAGGCTGCTTGCGGGGAGTACACCGCTGCAGCTCAGCACATTTACGCTTGCACACCATTTCCGAATAGTTGGGGACGACGGCACAGAACAGCGCCGGGGGCCCAATCAGTTTGGAGAGCAGACTCCGACCCTGGCCCTCCCAAACGGCCAGCTCTCCCGGAGAGAGGAGGAACCTGGCGCACTCCTCGGGCGAGTTCAGCGGAACGCAGCGCTCGGCGACTTTGGACACCGCCGCGCTCTCGAAGGGCCAATCGTCCTCGACGCTCCCGCTGGTGCCGTGCACGATGAAGCACAGCATACAGGGACCCTGAAGGAAGCAGTTCCTCTTCTTCTTCTTCTTGCGCAGCTTCCGTGATTTCTTCTTCAGGTCGTAACCATTTTTTGAGAGAAGATGGCCCATATAGATGATTCACGGTGACTCTGGGGAACGAGAGAACAACAAAGGAAAATTACAAACAGAAAATGAGACCATATACAAGCATATTTACAAGTTTTCACTGCATTTTTGTTATATAAAACAAATCAAATAGCAGCGGCTTTAACAGTAAAAGATCTGGTACTATCGCAACATGACATGCGGACAAAAATATGTGACCCTGCATCACAAAACCAGTCTTAAGTCGCTGGGGTATATTTGTAGCAATAGCCAACAATACATTGTATGGGTCAAAATTATACATTTTTCTTTTATGCCAAAAATCATTAGGATATTAAGTAAAGATAATGTTCCATGAAGATATTTTGTAAATTTCCTACCGTAAATATATCAAAACTTAATTTCTGATTAGTAATATGAATTGCTAAGAACTTTGTTTGGACAACTTTAAAGGTGATTTTCTCAATATTTAGATTTTTTTTTTTTTTGCACCCTCAGATTCCAGATTTTAAAATAGTTGTATCTCAGCCAAATATTGTCCTTCAAATCCATGGAAAGCTTATTTATTCATCTTTCAGATTATGTATAAATCTCAATTTCAAAAAAATGGGACCCTTACGACTGGTTTTGTGCTCCAAAGTCACATATATTTATCGTTGCCTAGAATTAAGAATTTGTTCCCAAAACTTATTAATTTGCGCTCTCGTTATAGTAAATCGTGGCTAGGTTGCACTAATTTGATTTATTTAAAACATAGCCATGATTTATTAAAACGAGTGAACAAATTAGTAAACGAGGGAATTAGCTAGTACAACACAACCTAAATTTACTAAAATTGAAGGAACGAATTAGTACAATGTCACTGCAATTTATTAAAAGTACAGCATGGCCATAATAAGCAAGGGAACAAATTTGTACAACATACAATATTTAAAAACTTTCCTATAACAATTAACGTTCAGAATCACTATAAGTGTTCATAGGTTCACAGAATGTAACATTTAAAACACTGATCAGCACAACATGTCAACTTCTGACTCAATCATCCAGTGGAGTGAGTTTGGGGCGGGGCTATCTGTTTGAGTGACCAATGGCAGACAGGAGGCGTGTTTGGGAAACATGTTTGGCAACAGTCATTATTTTTGCAGATCTGATGACAGAAATGACAGACGATATATCTAGGGTATTACTATGTCTTATAGGCTAAGTATTCATATTATATGTAGGTAGTGCTGATAGTATTTGTTTCTTATCTCTGTTTTGTTTGGTTCTGGTTTATTGTTTGTGTTGTTGTTTTGAAAATCGAATAAAAAGGAAATTCAAAAAAAAAAAAAAAGAGAGACAAAAGAAATGAGAAGATATCTGCAGACCCGTCGGCTGATGGAAGCTTCATTATTGCTCCTAAATGAGTGACATTTACTGCAAAAACAGACTGAAGAATCGTCTTTTGCTCTGAACAATAAATACGCACTTAAAATTAGATTTTGACTCAGTTACACAAAACCATATCAAAGTATATTTATGGCTGTAGTGTTGTGGTTTAGTTACTCCAGGTGTCTCAAAATCATTCTGACAGACCAAAGATTATAAACAAATTCTTCAGATGTTAAACTAACTAGACACACAGAAGTCTTACTAATTATTTTATAAACTGCACCAGAATGAGGCATAGGAAGATCAATACTGAATGTCCATCTACTAAGTTAACAAATATAACCATATAAATACCATGAACATGTAATCCATTCGTACTATGGTCTATATACAGTATCTATACCATAACTGAGCCATGGTATAACCTCCACAGTACTTTTTGCATGGATAATGAGTATTTCGAACAGCAGGGCTGCATTATATATGTCTCAGATATCATGTATAATGTGTGAGTGATGCTCTGTGCTGCTGTTATGTCTCAGTAGGAACCGTATAAACATTCACAAACACTGCTGTCACTGTTTACACACGCTGAGTGTTGTTGTTGTTGTGTTTCATTGAGTGATAGCGGCGAACGACGCCATTAAACTCCCTCGTGAGAAAAGAAGCGACAGCGAATATCTGTCATAATAAAACCTGCCAATCCTCACCAGCTCACGCGGCCCTCGGCACCTCCTTCCCACGCTCTCATACTCCGCGCGAAACAGAAACAGAAGCGAACGCTCGCTGTGTCAACCTGCTACAATGTTTCAAAACACTTCCGGATTTCAAATAAGAGAGGAAATCCCGCCCACGGCTCCAGATGAGAGCGGGCGCTCATTGGCCAGATTATCTGTCTGTAAGGACACGATGGCCAATCATTTGGGAACTCTTTAAATACGGCTATAGTTTTGTAAACACGCTTAATGCGAATGCATAAATACTTGCATTGTAACAGAGCGGACTCTAAATCTTACGTTACTTTGTTAACCATCAACACTTAAGAATTCTGAAAGCGGGTTTGTTTTGGACACCGGCAAACTTTCGCAAACGAGTGTTTATGAATCGGTCCAAATCATCTACACGCCTTACACGCCTTCCAGGCAAAAAAAACAAACACGCGTTTGCAGCGTCGTGAGTTAAGACTCGTTTTAGCGAGTCGGTTCGAATGATTCATTCCAATGAAGCGCGATACAGTGTGCATGAAGAATAATATTAATTGTTCGCAATATTGTTATCACCTCGCAGTTGTACTTGTGAAAAAGCCATCGTTAGGCTACAAGTCAAGTCAGAATTACTTCTATAGTGCTATTTTCTTGTGCGTTCAGCGAGTCGGTTCGAATGATTCATTCCAATGAATCACCATCCAATTATTTTATGACGTCACTCAAACATAAAGATAAAACAATTTTCTGTTACAGGTGTAATAATTTTAATTTTTCACAATATTGTTACCGCCTCACAGTTTTACTTGTGGAAAAAGTCACTATTTACAAGTAAAGTACTTACTTTTTAAAGTAAGTGCTTTCTTTTCCTTTTTTATTTATTGAAGAGTAACATTAAAGCAAAAAGCAGTACATTTACACAGAGACGAGAAAGAAAAGAAAGGGAAAAATACAAAAAAATATATACATAGAGACAGACAGGCCTATATTGCCAGAGTAACAACAAAGTAAAAAAATGTATATCTCAAAAGGACACAAAGGTTGAATAACATAAGAGATACAGTTATTATTGCTTTTGGATTAATAGTATTTTTAATAGTTTGCATATATAAATCAACTTATATGTATAAAGAAAAGAGAGGTTTGGAGAAAGGAATGGCGCTTTCTTGTCCGCTCGTTTTAGCGAGTCGGTTCGAATGATTCATTCCAATGAACCACGATACAGTTCTTTTCAGACGTCGCTCAAACAAACATAAAGACAGAATTGTATAATGTTAGCAGTGTCAGTAATAATAAGCTTAATTAGTTCCCATTATTGTTACCACCTCGCAACTATACTTGTGGAAAAAGTCATCAGCTGCCTAAAAGTCAAGCCAAGTTTGCTTGTGAGTCGGTTCGTATGATTCATTCATTCCATTAAACCGCGAAACAATTGTCATTATCCAGGAATAGCCTGATAATAATTATTATCACCACCTGGCAGTTTTACTTGTGGAAAATCACGAGTCAACAGTCAGAATTGTTTATATAGCGTTTTTCTTGTGCGTTCATTTGAACGAATCGGTTCGGATGATTCATTCCAATGAACCGCGACATAATTCTTTTTAAACGACACTCATAATAAATATGACTATTTGTCATTACTAGTGTCCAGGAATAATATTCCCAAGCAGAAATAAAGCCATAAATCCCTGTATATGGGCGGGTTCGTCCGTGATCCAGCAGGAATGGGTGTAATTAAACTTCCTAAAATAACTCTGCTTGAAGTGAACGCAATGGCTGCGGTGATAACACGACAGATCGTTCGCTCCGTTCAGGAGAGCAAACGCGCTTCACACGATCTCTGCATCTCTGATCTCAGTGACTGTCTGATATTTGATCGGCACGGGCTCTCTAAAACCTTCAGCAGTTTGTTTCAACACAACAAAGCCATCATTATTTTCGTGAGGGTAAGAGTCATGTTGCATCCCGAGACAGTTCTAGATCATCTGGCTTGACTTTGCATGCCATAACATTTGCTTTTTCTTCATATTATGTGATGTAATATGTTGTTTTCTGTATGTGATCTGTCTTCTCCAAGTTTGTGATCATCATGCATGATTTTACCTTATCTACAAAGTATCAAAAAGGTTTAAAGCAGCACTATGTAACTTTTTTTCTGTGTTCAAAATTTGCTAAATGTATCTAATGAGCGAGTACATCATGCATTCATCTTCCAAACCGCGTTTGTGTCTTATTCTGAATCACTCCGGTACACTTATAATAAGTGCTTATATTCGGACTATTGCAGCCTGGTCACCGCTGCGGAGTAACACATACCTGCGTGAATCGCGATAGACATACACTTAGAGAAGTAGATCCGGTTAGAATGTTCTTCCGCGGGATGTGTGCAGTTCTGTTTATTAACCACTAGAGAGCGCCAAAAGTTACACAGTGCTGCTTTTTTTTTTTAAAGAGAGATACTGTGACCTTTTTATATCTAATTCTAAATGATTTTTAATTTAATTATGTTTGCATTCAGTGTTTGTCTAGTTATGCTTTTCTTGTACACTGCAAGAAATAGTCTTCAAACAAGGCTATATTATGTCTATTCCAGATAATAATATTGTTTTCTCTTTTTATACTTCTTTTTTATTGCATTCCCATTCTATCTATAGCACACCTGTACATACCATTTATTCTTTGTGGTTTATTTCTATTTATGCATGTGTATTTTCTTTACATCTTATTGTCTGTGTGTTGTTGTCTCTGTGTACTGGAAGCTAAAAACAATACTTTGCAATAAAGCTCTTTCTGACTTCTAATATTTTACAGAACTTCTTGTGCTACACATGCAAAGAATATGTGGAGGATTTGGGCAAAATACCTCAGCAAATGTTGCAGGTGAAAGGATGATATTAGGAAAATGCTGTTAAAACTGTTTTGTCAGTAATAATGTAATATTTGGTTGAATATATTAATATGAAGTCAGAATTGTGAAAAAAGGAACGACGTATTTTTTCCTTCTCTCACAAATGTAGGAATCGAATGTCAGATTAGTAGTGATTGGACAGTCATCGTGGTGTCATATAGAGGTAGGATGGGCTTATTAATATACAGTTAAAATATGAAAGGTTTGAAAACTTAGTCAAAGAGAAAACTGTTGCTTGATAATAATAAAAATAGAATAATAATAAAAAAGGGGTTCGAGATTTTTAATTCACAGTTAGTACTTTTTTTCCTCCCAATTCTTAATTTTCTTTAATCTTGCAGTTTTGTTTTTTCTTGATGAATCAAAAGTTGAAAAAACGTAACTGCAACTTTTTACACAACGTTTCAGAATTTCGGTGGTTCGTGTTCTTTATATTTAATATATGGTATATAATGATTTTTTTTCTTTAAATGCATTTAATGCATAATTTCAAAAAGACATTTGCAGTGGGTTTGTAAAAGCTTTTGTAATGCATGTTTGAGCTGAGTTAGTGTTGTAGTTACACAGTTTCGCCAGCGTGTGGCGTTCCGAACGCTTCGAATCACTTAGTGAATCATGTCGGTTCAATTGATTCGAAGCTTCGAAAAGATTCGTTTCTGCCATCGCTACTTTTTATCTCGCAGTTCCTATTTTACAACTCACAAATTCTGACTTTTTATTTCAGTTCAATATAAACTAAGAATTGTGAGGAAAAATGTCCATAACTATGAGAGAGAAAAATGTGCAATTACCTTTTCAATTTTTTTTTATCTAACTGTTACTTGCAGAAATGAGCTTCCATAGTTGTTAACTTTTACCAGTTTGAAAAACATATGAGCAAGATAAATATAACATGCAACAGTGTGTCAAGTAGTTTTGATTCCAGCTGGTTCAAGTTTGAGCAACTGCACTAAATTTGCATTGTTTCAGAGCTCGTATTAAAAGTATTAATACGATTATTATACGGTATTGCTTAGGGGGGGAAATTGACAAATTTATATTTTAGGCCATGCATTTGACTCCGTTTTCTAAACCAATCTAGCACTAGAAAAGAAATGGAGTTGCACTAAAGCTGAGCATGCTCGCACCTTGAGAACATTGTTTTAGTATTGATTGTTTAATGATGCAAAACTACTCCAGATTGTCTTGTATTCTGTGATCTCTTTGTTGCAGGCTTTCTGCTCCCTGACAGGCTATTCTCATGAAATATATGTTGATCCGGAGAGACAAATTTACAAAAAACTTGGAATGAGAAGAGGAGAGACATACATGGAGACACGTATTGTGCTTGATTTAGTCGCTTTGTGTGTTAAATGGAAAATATAGTTGCTCTGGAGCAAGAGTGCGATTGTTGTAGAATTCCGTAATGTTCTTTCTTCAATCTTAAATTGACTGCCTAAAATAGATGCATGGAAATAAAAGCTTATTTTGTCATTGTAGACACTTCTCCTGCTTGTGCTTGGATGTCAATGCCAAAGAATGACGTGTTTGATTTAATGTGCATTTGTAGCTTGCAGCAGTCCACATGTGAAATCTGGTGTGCTGGTCGGGAGTCTGAGGAGCTTGTGGCGCGCCGTGACCAGCCCTGTGTTTGACTTCCAGGGAGATCCGCTGCAGCAAGGCGGAGCTCTGATCGCAGGCCCAGGTCACACGCTTTCCCATTCTGCTTCTACTTCCATATCTTGACTTGATCTGAACACTTTGTGTTTTATTTTCCAGCTCCAGAGGTTCATTTTGCCCATTTTGACATGAACCGGCTGGACCACATGCCCATCAACTGGTTGCTTCAGTTAGCTGGCCTTCAAACGCTGGACTTCAGCGAGTCGCACAAAATCATTGATATCTAAAGGAAAAGGAGCTGTTAAGTCATGATGGAACTGCGCTCGATGCTTGTAGCTGTTATAATGCAATGCTGGTCTTTGTTTGAACTCTATAATGGCTCATTATTGTTGTTGTATATAGTATTGTTTTTATATATTATTTATGTTTGATAGGAACAAGCCATTCCACTGCTAGTGACCCTTGATTATATTTGTTACATTACAAAAAAAATAAATTATATTTTAAAGGATATTAAAACAGAAATCATTATTTTATATTCTAATAACATTTTGCAAGATTACTGTTTTTTCTGTATTTAAATAAATGCAGCCTTGATGAGCAGAAGACACTTCTTTAAAACACATTACAGTCTCACTGATCCCAAACTTTTGACCGGAGTGTGTGTGTGTGTATATATATAAACAGCAAAAATTCTCCAGAAACACATTATCATATTGAGTGGAGTATAAAACACTTGTTTTGGTGTAAATCTCATATAAACATGTCCAAGTTATGTTTTATCCTCAAAAAATTTATTTTACATTAAGAAAATGAAGAAAATTATAGGACAATTAAGTTTTTTTTTTAATTATAATTTGTTTAAATTAAAACAGTAAAAAAAATTTTTTTATAATAAATATTTATATAAATTAAAGACTATACAACAAATGCTGGTATTATGTGTAAATACTTTACAATTATTTTTATATTTTTGTTTATTATTAATCTTTTTTTTTTTTGCATGCATGCATGCATTACAGCCATTAGAACACTTTTTTTTTTTTATTATATAATAAATAAAAAGAAAACAGATAGAATAGAAAGAATAGAGCACACTAAGCTAATTGTAAAATAAATAAAACAAAAACAAATAGAATACAAAAAGATTATATAGAATTATACAACAATAATTACCACTGTGCATAAATACTAAACAATTTTTTTCACATCACAGTCATGAGAACTAGTGCACATACACATGCTGCACACTGGTGGTGGTTGAGGAGAGACCCCCCCCCCCCCCCCCAAAAAAAATACAGTAAAAAATATATATTTAATCTGCGTAAATTATAGATAGACTACACAGCACAGATTACCATAATGCAGAAATACTTTACAATTTAAATAATATATTTTAACATTACAGTAATGTAAAACACATGTGTTCTAAACATGAAAACAATGCAAATAATCTTAAAACCAATTCGTTTCTCGATTTTGGGATTTCGCGAGCATGGTTTAAAGTTCCGCAAGTGCCCGGATGTTGTGTCGCCGTGACGTCACTCGCAAGGCTTTTAGAAGCTAGCCTTCTCTACGTCACCGGCAGGACAACTGGCTCAAATATACCTTTGGTCTGCAGCGCGTGGAGCCGTTAGAAGCCGGACTATGCAAACTAAAGCGCAAATCCTACTTCTATCGCACGTTCGCGTCTGAAACGCCGTCTTTTCACGCGTAGCGAGGCATGAAGCGCAAAAGCGAGCGACGGAGCGAGTCGAGGAAGAGACTCTGCGCGTCTTTGAGGGATCAGACGGAGTCCAAGAGCGATATTTACCTTCGTATCACAGGTAAACAAACTACAGACGCGACCAGAGCGACCTTAAAGCGTTAAACCGCCATGAAGTACTGTCTTGCGAGTCCTGTCAGGGGTTTGTTTGGCGGTTTATAGCACTGGATGGTCGCTTTAACATGAAACATGAGATCACAACACAAACTAAGTGCTGTTTATGTCGAGATTAGCGTTGATTATAGGTCAGGATGACTCTAAAATGGCATTATTAGCTACTAATGGTGTCTGTGTGGAAGACGGAACGGTTTTCTTTGTTCTGTTCGCTGGATGTAAATCACCGAAAATGGATCAAAGCGTTCAGTCAGAGCAAAATGAGATTCTATTGGCTGATCGGCGCGTCTCTCCTAGCAACGGCTGCCTGCTGTTCGATTTAAATATTGGAGGGAGGGGCTTAGTGTGATTGACGTGTCAGTGTTGCGACCGTCAGCCAATCAGGCGGCGGGAAACGGTTTAACGTCGCGTTGGATTTAAACTGCGCTGAATTTAAATTCTGGAGGGAGGGGCTTAGTGTGATTGACGTGTCAGTGTTGCGACCGTCAGCCAATCAGGCGGCGGGAAACGGTTTAACGTCGCGTTGGATTTAAACTGCGCTGAACTTTATTCAGACTTCAGGCTAGAGAAAGATCGCTCGTGTCGTGTGGCGTTATTTTATTTACGCAATTTAAGGCATAGTTCTAATTAATTTTTTTAAAATGCAGGTTTTATTGTATAAAAAGAACAAAATTGTTATTTTACGTTTTTTTTTGTAAAAATACAAATCATAAATTGTCGACGGAAATTAGACCGTTTTGGTTGAATGTGTGTTGGCTTTAGATTAGTGTTAAGTCTTTTTTTATTAGTAAGCTAACTTAAACCAAGATTAAATAATGCTCCGGAACAACGTTACAATAGAAACGTGCGATCTGTCAAACTGCATCGAGTTCATTAAAGGTGAGTGTCATATTTCTGTGTTTTCTTCTTAATAGTGCACATATTTTGTTGTTGACGGTTTGTCTGAGAACTCACTTCCGGTACGCGGATTCAAATCTGTTGATTCAAATACATTGACTGCGTGAAATCTGCAGGAAGTGCAGCCATTATGAGGGATTACAGTATAGTTTTGTGTCTTGTGTTTTTCAGATCAGCTGTATTTTGCTCTTCTTCATCAGAAGGTTAAGAGCACTCCTGACAGACACTGTTTCTGCATCGATGAAGAGCTTTCCTATGAGAAGTAAGAGTGTAATTGTGCATTACTAATGAAATACTGTCAAATGATTGGGGACATTAATACACTAAATATTATAAAGTGTCATATTTGATACATGTAAGGCCTCTAAATGGTCAACATCAATCATCATTGGATTGCATTGCAATCTGGTCTTACTAAGACATTATTGGCGATATAGAGTGGCGTTTATATCATTTTATGCTGCTGTACTGATAAAGATCTCAGATTTACATTACGAGCAAACAGAATTTCATCGTATAAATATCAGCATTTGCACAAAATTGCATATTTTTGCTCCGTTTGAGTCTGAATAAAACTGAGCCTCTGTATTCTCACCGTATCAAATTATATGAGCTATAAACGCCTGATGAATTAAATATTATAAACCACATTTTGTCTAAAGGTTCAGTATTTAGTGTTTTCTTCCCCATAGGACAGTCTGTTAAATATGCATATGGTTTTTATGGATCGTACCAGACCTTTATCAATGACCTCTTCGGTTTTTATGTTTGAACAGCTTCTATGCGGACTTTGGCCCGCTTAACCTTGCCATGTTTTATCGCTTCTGTTGCAAACTCAACAAAAAGCTGAAGGTAATGACGCTTCATTACTCTGACTGTTCTAATAAATACGGTCTTTGCATGCATGCATTGTATGTTATGTATTTATTTTTTTATTTTTTTTTAATGTTTGGTTTTGTATGCAAGATGTGTTGTTTTTAAATTTGTGCTCTACTAACTCAACAGTCTTGTGCTCTTGCAAAGAAGACAATTGTGTTTTATACCTGTGGTGACCGAAAGAAACAAGCCAATGCTGCGTATTTGATCGGCTCTTATGCTGTAAGTTTTCCAGTCCAGCTTTTTTTAGCCTAAAGGCTTCGCTTTCATGAAAGTGCAGCCTGATGGAGTGCTCAAATATATTTCTAATGGTTTTGCATGTATATGCATGAGCTTTGCATCTAGTTCTTCCTTCTTGTTTGTCCTCTTTTGTAGGTAATGCATCTACAGAAAACACCAGAAGAAGCGTACAGCCTTCTGGTCTCTCAAAATGCGTCTTATCTTCCTTTTCGGTAATTGAAATTTATCCCCTACGTGCATTTTATGAGCCTTTTAAATCGGAAGCAATCTCATTTTCCGTTTCTAGATTTCTGTTCATCTCCGACTTAATTTTTCATTGCATTCAACAGAGATGCATCTTTTGGAGCTTGCACGTACAATCTGAATATCCTTGACTGTCTGCTGGCCGTTCACAAGGTAATCCAGAGTCTCTGTGAAGCTTCATCTGGCGTGTTTGCCGGCCCACTATTCCTGCTGATCGCATGTTGTGTGTTTCAGGCTCTGCAGTTCGGCTGGCTGGATTTCTCAAAGTTTAATGTGGAGGAATATGAACATTATGAGGTGAGTTTTCCATGATATATACCTTTTTCTTAGCGTAAAAATGGGCATAGCCCTAACTTCCCATTTTTAACTACAAAACCGCTCGTTTTGCTGCTTGATATTGAAAATGGGTGAGTCTTACCATATTATTTTAATGTATTATCTTAATTATGAACACACTGGTTTGTAGTGCAAACAGTTTTACAGTTTACTGCACGTTGTTATTCTTTTCGTTATTTCCCTATGAACCGGAAGTCTCACCTATTTCCGCGTTGAAGAAAAAGGTGGATAGAAGGGTAAAGCTTAAAGACGGGGCTTAGCTTAAGCCAGGGCTAGGCCTTAGTTAAATTAAGATATTTACGCAACTTTTATAAAAATGTCTTGGAAGAAAACTTTAAAGGTGTGCATCTTGAGACAGAACAACGACACTGACATATTTTAAGATATGTCAGAGCAAGATATTTTCAGTTGAGACGGTTCAAACATGCATTTTAGTCTGGGACTAGCCTTAAAGGGGTCATAGGATGCTACATGCACTTTTACAAGTTGTTTGAACTGAAATGTGTGTTGGCAGTGTGTGTACACAACCACCCTATAATGATAAAA